GGCAAAATTATATAGGCCAATCACAGATTAGTGGTTACTCTGGTAGGAGTGGGTGCGGCTATAAAAGGATCCTGAGGAAGACCTTTGTGGCAATGGAATTGTTCTGTATCTTAATTGCGGTGGTGGTTACACAAATCCGCACAGGCACTCAAATGACACAGATCTCTACACAAACACTGTAGCCATATCCATGTCCACTGTTGAGATGGTACTGTAATTACATGAGATGCACTGGTTGGGAGGTGTAGCCTTTTTGTACTATCTTTGTAATTGCCTGTGAATATATCCTTATTTCAAAATGTCAAAATTAAAAACCAAACCACATCTGGATGGCAATGAGAATCTTTCCCAGGTTTAGGGAGGATCCCACAGAGCACAGCTAGACCCAGGTCACAAGGCGAAGCCAGGTCCAATCTTGCTCCTCCTGCATCAGCGGACTCCAGCTTGGGTTAAGGAGTCTTTGCCGAGCTTGGAAGGTTTGCTTGCAGGCTTCATTTAGCTGGAGCTGATTGACATAGCCACTGCCCATCTCCTTCCCCACAGCCGCTGTCAGTTATGGGTGGCATGGAAGTGACCGTTGTTATCCTGCCACAGCAGTGCTTCAGAGAAATACCTAGATGGCCAAGGGTCCAACAAAGGTCCAAGTTGACAACAGAACCAGGTTGGAGGCTGGCTCTTTTTGCTATTTGCAACTGTAGATCCCATCTTCTTTCTCCTCCTAGGGAGGTTGCAAGACAAGCTCAGGCCCCTCAGCCCTCCACCCCTCCTCCCACACCAGGGCTGCCCCAGCTCCTGTGGACTCAGCGTGCTTGCAGGCAGGGAAGGTGTGGACTTTACCCCAAAGGCAATAGCCCGGAAGCTGGGCTCCAGCCTGGCAGAGAGATGAAGAACTACAGTGTCCCAGCATCGGGAGCCCTGTGAGTCAGGGCAAGTGGTAAACAGATCAAGCATCGCAGTCCTCACACACACACATGCACATGTGTACACATGTACACACACAACACACATGCAGAGACATCTTGGCCCAGGGCCCAGCCCTCCCCGCTCTACCAGCTGCACCTGTTCTGGAGGGCAGACAGGGGTGGCTTCATCCAGTGCAGTTGCTTGGGGCAGGGCCTGACCTCTCCTCCTGGGTGGCCCCAGGGGGCAGCCACCAACCTCAGTGCTGTGCCAAAAGGAGGGGGTGACAGTCACAAGAATCATGATGGCGCCACCCACAAATGGGCTAATTACTCTCATCCTACAGCCCAGACAATGAAGGCTGGCTCGGTCAAAACTGGCCACAGCACTCTGCTCTGGATTGGGTCAGCTTGTTCCTTCAGCCTCTTTCTCCCACCTTTCTTAGCATTCAAAATACTCGCTGTGGATGGTTTCAGAGAGGCTGGGCTGTGGCTGCCTGGGAGTGCAGGCCGAAGTCCCAAGGCTGGCTCAATCAGCTGTGAGTTGAAAATGAGCCCTATTTCTCCTGCTGGGCTGTGGAGGGAGAAGGTGAGGAAGATGGGAAAGCTTGAGGCATACACCGCTTCCTTCCCCCAACCCTCGCCATGCCCTCATGTTCCTCTGACCCCCGAAGACCCTCAACATCCCCCTGCCATGCCTGCATTCCCTACCCCAGGAAGCCGCACCAAGTGGCAGTGGCCCAGAGTGCCTCCTCCCCCTCCGGTCTGCCTATCCCAGCCAGGGAGGGGGACCACAGCGCCACATGTCCCGCAGATGTCACCAACTGTAAGAGAAACAACAGCACATCAGGGTCCCCATGCCTAAAGATTCCTAGGGAGAGGCGGGGTGTCACCCCAAAACTTGGAGGAGCAGAGAAGGACAGCATGGAAGGACCCAGGATGGAAATACAGAAAAGGGTCCAGCAGGTGTAAGGACAGCGAGGCAGGGGTGGGAGGTCTTGTAGGTATTTGTGAAGGTGAATGGAGCAGGGGGACAGGGGTGGAGATACAGGGCCATGGCAGGCGGTGTCCTCAGCGGGACACCTGCCAAGGTCCCTGTTGACCTACCTCTATTCTCTAACCCCACCCCCACACCAGGACCCTAACTTCAGACAGTGAGAGCTTTAGCATCCCAGAGAGCTCCCTACACTCCTGGGAGGAGAATGAGATCTCTATCCTGGAAGGAATACAAGCAGAAACCTGTATAGTGGCTGGAACATTGGCAGCCAGAGGGTCCTTTTTCAGGCTGGAGACACTAAGAAACCAGGGCCATGCTCAGCCAGGCCATGGGGACAGCTGGTACACCGCAGGAAGGGCCCAGAACCCTCACCAGGTGCCAAGCTACAATAGTGGTGCCTAATCCCCTCCCACTGGTACCCAAGTACCCTTTTCCATCCTCACCCACCTGACCACTGCTCCGGCCATGCCAAGCCTGGGCAGCCAAGCCAGAACAGGCCCTTTCTGATTTCACTCCATGGAATAGGTGACTAGAAAAATGAGAATTGAGTCTTAAGACTAAGGCTCCCATCCACACTGCCTGAGCCCCTCACCCTGCGACCCCACGTTAGACTACTGTTAGCAACAGTCACCATATACCAGGCACTGAACTAATCTTGCCAGACACATGGTCTCTTTGTCATGGTTACTCGGGGCAGGTACCTGTATGCAACATTCAAGGAGAGCAGGAGATGTGATTTAAACAAGGACTGAGCCCCAGAGCCTGACTTCAAAGCCTGGGGGGTGAGCCTCTCACCTCTGCATACCATGTTGCATGCCCAGCCTCTGCCTGCCTTCCCATCCTTGGGACAGGGACCTCCTTGGCCTTCTCAGCCCCACGGACCCAGGTTAACTAGTTGGGATTTGCATGCCAGAGACCAAGCAGCCTGCTCCTTGCTTCAAGTGGAAGAGAATGGAGGACAGCCCTGGCAGCTCAGAGTGGAGCCTGGGGGATGTGCCACAGTCACTGGGGAGGCTGGGAAGAAGGACCCTAGTGCCTATTCCAAGGCTGGACCCGGCAGCCACTCTGCCCAACCAGTGCTGCTCCAAGACCAGGGGCACCAGGCTGTGAGTAATGGAAACCACACAGTGAGGCTTTCCAAAATGGGAATTCCATCTGCCTGACTTTGCACTCCTGGACTTTGGTTTCCATGGCAACTTGGGGGGCCTGAAGGTGGAGGGCCTGGCCCAAGGCTGAATCCTTGGAAGCTAGAGAGAATGAATGATGACTCTCCCTGTAGGCCTAGCGGTTTCCCCAGGCAGAAGATGCCACAGAATAGGCATGGGCCTGGGAAGTCCCGGGATTCCAAGCCGGCTCTGCCTCTGGCCACCTCGCAGGGTGACAGCACATGACATCGCGGTCCTCTCGGGACCTCAGTCTCCTGTGCTGACGAGTCCTCAAGTCTCAGGGCCAAAGGTGCCTTGCTCTAGATGAAGAGGACAACTCCACTCCCTGTCTTTCTGCCCTTGGGGATGTCTGTCAAGCTCCAGGGCCCAGTGGAACAGTCACTTTGAGGCTCACAATACCCACCAGGCCTTGGGCTTGCTGGCCTGGCACAGGCCCTGGGGCCCTGAGAAGAAATCCCAGAACCCCTCCAGCAGGAGCTCTCACTCCCATGCTAGGGGAGAAGCTGCCAAGAAAAATGTATGGAGGCCCCTTCTGCAGACGGGCTCATGCGGGGGTCTGCTCATCGTGAACTCTTGTTAAGGATGTTGTCCCCGGTTTTGCAGACTCAGAGAGGGGCAGTGATGTGCCAATGTGGCAGAGTAAGCTAGTGGCCCAGGCAAGACTCAAAGCAGGTCTGCAGTACCCTGACAGGCGAAGGAGTCACCTGACTGCCACTGCTTGGTATGGGCTAACCATGGAGGGAGTCAGCAAGCAGGGATGAGAGCTGTCTGCGGGGCAGGTGGGCATGCAGCAAGTGCTTCTGAAGCAGGGCTCTCAAGCGAGGAGACAGGGAGGACAGTCCCCAGGGTCTGCTCTGGGAGCAGGAGCAAGGACTGTCAAGCTCCTACAACACAGAACGCTCAGCCCCTGGCTCTCCTGTCAGCCTCTAGAGACCACTCTTTGTGATCCTGTCACTGTGCAGAGGAGCAGGCAGGTACCCAACTCGGGGGTATGGGCAGGGGAAGAGCAGCAGGGCATCCATGTCTTCCACATTTCCAAGGGCCCAGCAGGTGGACCTGAGCCCAGGACCCTGGTAGGGAATAAGATGCGCACAGACAGTGCCCAGACCTTCCTGCACAGCCTCCAACCACAGCTCTAAGTCAGCCTGACAGAATTGGTCTCCATACCAGGCCCTGGAAGGCTGGATGTGTGGGCATCTGGAGCCGGATTGGCATCTGCATGGCCTGGGTTCTGGACCCTCTTCTGTCCTCTTGTAGAGGAGGAGTCTGAGTTTGTCCCCTCCTCCCTCAGCCCCTGGAAATGTGCCCTGGAGTCAGGCCTTTCCCAGATTTGCATCTCCTGTTTCGTTAGACAAGAGGAGAAGCAAAATCACAATGGCAGAAATACTGGAGTCCCTGTAAGTCCCAGCTCCTATCCCCCCCATCAGCATGAGCAACATCTCTGTGTTCAAATCTCCGCAAGTCTGCCTGAGATTTTTGCCCTTGTCTACCTCCACAGATTACCCCAGCACCACCTGCAAGTGGCTTTGGAAAGCAGGCAGAGATGCACACAAAAAGCTGCCAAAGGCTGCTGGGATAGCCAGGGGCATGGCCAGGCTGGGCTCTATCCTATGGTTGGCAGAGCATACGCATTGTGGCACTGAACCCAGCCCAGCCACCTGTTGATTAGGTGACCCTGGAAAATGACCTGTGCCTCATTCTGCTCATCTATGAAATGGGGATTGCGCCTCTCCCTACCCCCAGTACCAACAGGTGGGTTGAGTTTGGCACAGAGCCCCGTGTGGAAGAGGCAGCTAGAGAGCTGTTCCCACGGCTGCACCTAGCGCCAGATGGGAACATAAGCAGCAAGGAACAGCTGATCTGTGGAGTTCACCTGTAGCTGTTCTTCCCCTGCCCCCCAGAAGGTTCCAGACCAGGAACATACAGGAAGGGTCGAGATCAAGAAGTAACACAGGCCTTTTATTTGCTCCAGTACTTGGTTACTGTGCGACCCGAGGGTGCCATGCTTGCCCAGAGCCGCTGAGCAATACCCCACTGTCCAGGGGTGCCAGGTGTCCCAAGCAGGAGCTCAGCCCGTGCAGATGCCCCTCCAGGCCTCATCAGTCTAGAAGGCCCAGCTGCCACCACTGGTGCCGGATACCAGCAAATGCCCTGAAACTGGAAACTGGCGGCCACCTGGCAAGCCAGGTGGCTTTTCACAAGGCATTGGTTAAAATATTGCACTTGGAAATGAGGGGGAAAATTGATGTGGCAAGGGCTTCCTAGCACAGGAGGACAAGGCCAAGCATCCAGCTACTGTTTAAATAAATAGAACTCAAGGCAGGGAGTTGGGCTGCCGAGCGCCGGCCATCCCCTGTGGGTCCCAAAACCCGAGCCCCGGCCTCCTGCCCATTCAGCCAGCTCTCTGAGGAACTTGGTCAATGCAGTCTCCACAGTCTCTGCAGCCGGGAGCAGCTGCTCCAGATCTGGTTTAGCCTGGGGCTTCCGGCCAACCTGGCCAGGGCCCCTGGACCCCCTCGTACCAGGGCAGTGGGGAACCCAGTTGGGCCAGTCCCTCTACTCTTCCAGCGGCCTGGGTCTCCCTAGATCCAGGCCTTGCAACCAAGTGTCCATCTGTCCTTCAGGAGACAGCCTCAGCCTCAGGGGGCTTCCTCGTCCCCTCTGTCGCAGGGGGAAGGAAGGCAGGTGGGTGCAGGGCTCAGCCTGCCTGGTATGTAGGTTGCGTTCCATCCCGGTGGTCCCTAAAGTGGGGGACTCATTTTCTTCTGGTTTATGAGGTCCAGGTAAAGATCGGAGCGGAGGAAGCGAGGGTAGGAGTCCTTTTCCATGAGCCCAAAGATGCGCTTCTGGGCCAGGTCGAAGCAGCCCCGTGTGACACTCTGCAGGTTGTCCTTCGTGTGTTCCCGTGTGTAAGAGTCCAGGTTGACCTGCACAGGCAGAGGGGATGGGGTCAGGACTGTGACTCAGGCACTGCAGTCCTGGGGGCTGGTGCAGCCTCTCGCCTCCCGGCCTTGCCCTGCCACCTCGCCCCAGTTAGTGCCACCTGCAGGTTAGAGTCCCGGCTCCACCCCTTCCTGTCTCAAGGTGGCAGACTTCCCAGAGCCTGGAAACAACCAGCTGGGGTCTGGCTGCCCAGGGCTTTCCCAGCCCAGCAGTGCAGCTGCTGGTTTCAGGACCCTAAAGAGATTAGTGCAAAGCACTGGGCCTCGGCTGTCTGTGCGAGCCAGAAATGACCACACACCTCCCAGGGCTGTGAAAACCCAGGCTTCCCAATTTGCTGCTACAACCAGGGACTCGGAACACCACAAAACCAATTAGGTATGTTGTCACTGCCCCTAGCCCCGAAGGAATATAGCAAGGGCCTTACCCCTGATAGTGCCCCCTCGCCTCCCACCACCACCACCACCCCGAGTGACCAGCATCGGGGAGTCCCTCTGCCTCTTGCCCACCCTCTCCCCTTCTGAGTCGCTGGCTACCTCCCTTTGGCTGGGGCTCCACTGGTCAGTGGTGACTTGGAGGTAAGGGGCCCCCCTAGAGCCCTACCTCTTTGCACGCCTGGATGGCGATATATTCTGCAAAGATCTTCTTGGCTTTGGCTGCCATCTTGGACTGTGACTTGACCTTCTTGAAGTCCTCACAGGCCAGCCAGAACTCCAGGTTCTCCTCGCTGAACTCCGTGCGAAGGAAGGCTTGGAAAACTGCTAACCCATCTGTGAGGAGAAGCCCAGCCCTGGGTAAGAGGTGTGGCCAGTCCCACCTGCCCTTAGCCCCTGCCCCCGGGGAAGAGCACAGGTGGAGAAGCAGTTAGACTATCGTGGCCCTGTGCTGGCCTCATTAGAGGACCGTGTGCGCCTCAGTATCCCAGGTGTCTCTTAAGAGTCCTGCAAAGGGCAGACAATAGGCACCCTGGGTTGGCTGCATGCCCTCAGTATGGGGAAATGTTTACTGCTATTCTGGGCCTGAACACACAGGTCCCAAATGGCCTCCAGCAAGCAAGGCCACCCCCACGGACAGCAAGGGGCTAGCAGCAGCCAGCCGCAAGGCCAGAGCAAGGGTATGTGGCCAGGGGCAGCAACACCTGCCTGGGCAGCAAAGAGGCAAGGCAGCCAGTGCTGGGCCACTCTATAGATCCGGACAGGAAGAAAAAAGAGAGCGAGCCCAGAACCCAGAGAGAAAACCAGCCAGGCCACCCCACTTACATTTGTGAAGTAGCAGCTTCTCCAAGGACTCGCTCCACTTGAGGGCTTCCTCTGAGGTGGGCCTGAGGGTGAGGGGATTCCATGAAGCAGGGGGCACTTACAGCCTTTTGTTAGCTGCCTGGGGTGGGGATGGGGGAGCACGGGCCGGGGGAAGTCCACATCCTTCATGGGGTGCTCACCACCTCCAGCCCCACCTGTGCCCTGGACCCTGGGGACTGGGCATGCTCCCTCAAGCCTCCAACTCTCCAAAGTGGAACCCAGCACATGCGGGGAGCCCCTTCTTTGTAGCCCAAGTGCCCAGCCCTGCTGCTCTTCAGGCGGGGGGGAGGAGGGGGGAGAGCAGGAAGGTCCCGGGGAGCCAGTGAGGACATACTTGAAAGACTTCATCATTTTGTCTGCTTTGCCCGCTGGCTGGGCCCCAGGCGACTCATTCCGCCTTCTGAAGATGCCCAGCTTGGTCTTCATGTCCTTGGCTCTGGGGGCAAAAGCAGAGAAAGCGCTTGGTGAGCCTGGCACCCCAGGCGGGGCGGGGGTGGAGAAGGGGGCCAAGGGCAGGGACCAGCCACCTACTCCTTCATGGTGTGTCGCCTCTGCAAGTTCCCGTTGCGGGTGAGGTACATGCCCCGCAGCATCTCTGTAGGGCCCCCAGCTTTGGGCCCCAGGACAGCTTGTCGGGAGCACCCCCTCTGGCTCCTGCTCCCCAGCCCGCTGTCTGAGCCGGTAGCTAGCGGTGTAAGTTGCGGTCTTGCAGACGCACGCTGGGAGCCTGCTCCGATGACTGGACTCCCAGGCAGGCTGGCTGGCTGGGGCCGGGACTCAGACGGGAGGAGCCAGGAAATGGGAGGGACCAGGAGGGGGAACCAAGAGGCAGCTGTGAAAGGGGCATGTGTCTGCACAGGACGGCTTCTGGGCCCCGCCTCCGGCCCCTAGCCAGACCCAGTTATTTGTCACCAGCCTCCATGGTTTCCATGGCAGCTGGCAATGGGGGGGGGGTGGACAAGAGGAAGGGGGAGGGAAAAATAAAGTCAGCAAATTGCTGGGAGGGAGCAGAGGCTCTGCCCACCGGAGGGGGGCGGAGGAATGGACCAGCTATTTTTAACCAAGAACCATTTTTAGCCAGGCCACTCCCATTGCAGACAGCAGATTGCAGCTGCAGGGAAGCTGCCAGCGAGGAAGGGGTTAAATGCCCCAGGCTCCAGTCACTGTCCCCCTGCAGTGGACACCGCCTAGAGGACACTCTGCTGGTAGTGGATAACTGTCTCTGAATCCTCAATCTACCACAGGTCTTCAAACTGTCAGGAGTTTTTAAGTTTGGATAATTTCCCAAAGCCAAATCCCATCCAGTTGCAAAGAACGTCACTCGAAAGTTTAATTACTTCATTTAGAACACATGTTTGGTTCGATGATTTTTGAATCAGAATAAATCGAATGAAGCATTTTAATAAATACGGTTTTTACTTTTTGTCTCCATTTGACAAAAGGTGGAAAATGCCAATGGAAACTGAGTTTAAACCGAAAATTCATTATTGAATCACAAGGCTAAGTGCCAAAGAATTTAGATCATGAACCCTTCAAATGCGTTGTGTATGCTTGTAGCTTTTGTAATTCGGAAGCCAATGACACTTCAAACAACACCAGCACCCCAGGGACACCTTATATAAGGGAAGTGGTACCAGTAGGACAAAGAGGAGGAGGAGGGAGAGGCTAGTTTCAATTCCAGCTCCAGCAGTTCCCTTGCTGTGTGTCCTTTGTCAGGCACCCTAACCTCTCTGTTTAGCTTGCTTGGCTGTCAAGCAGGGAAGCAAGTGGCACCATCTGTTGGGGCTGTTGCCAGGACTCAAGGAAAAAGCTCACATCAAAAAGCTTTCAGGCAGAGCCCAGCGCCCTAGCCTGGTGGCTAAATCTTCACCTTGTATGTGCCGGGATGCCATATGGGTGCCAGTTCGTGGGAAGAGGATCCCAGTGAACATCTGAGAAGCACTGACTCAATCTCTGTATTTTGGTGGGTACTGCGGGCTTCTAGACGCTCCCTGGAGGGCCTCGGGGCTGGGGCTATGAGAGGGCCTGAGGAGTACTCCCAAAACCTTGCTCCTGAGCACCTGCAACAAACCTCTAAAAGCATAACAAGACCTGAGCTGGACCAGAAGGGCTAGCAGCTGGGCTGGGCTAGTAGTAGCTGGGCTAGCAGCGCCCCCTTCTGGCCATATGCAAAACAGTTTGCACTCAAGAGCTCAAGAGCTCCAGGGGAAAGGAAAACTTCTAGAATAGTCAATGGAGTGTGTGTGTGTGTGGGGGGGTGCTTTCTCAAGTCCTTGCCGGCCCAAAAGCTGGGCGGGCGCCAGAGCAATCTGGCGAGTTGCCTGTGGTGCAGTGTGGCTTCCAGGCACTGAACCAGCAACTTGCATCTCTCAGAATGCTCAGGGGCCCAACAACCCCACCCTGGGGCCACTGTCTAATCTCGGTCCCAGTGTCTGGGGCTGCACAGCCCTTCTCCCTGCCAGTGTCCCTGGAGAAGAGAGAAGCCCTCGGACAGGGAAAGAGGGTGTTGGGAGCCTCCCCAATCACCAGCAGAGGGCACCATGCATCTGTCCAACGTACAGGTTTTTGCTTTTTCTCTTCCTGGAGGCTTCGTCGTCATCCCCACTCATCTGCAGAGAGAAGATAGACATGTGCAGTGAGCGGGAGGGCCTGGAACCCGACCACAAGAGGCACAGGGGCCATACTGCTCCTGCAGCCAGCCAGGTGCTCAGAGAATCCACCCTGGAAAGGACAAGTGAGGGAGGAAGACCCACCACTGGGAACCAGCCTCCAGCCTCAGGGGACCTCCTCAAGACCCATCTAGGACCCTGGCCTGTGGGGCAGAAGCCATGTGGCACAGCACTGTCATGCATCGGCAGTGGCAGCAGCAGGCAGGACGTCTGGACAGTCACTGTCCCTCTGCCTCTATTCCTTAACTTCTAAAAATGCAGTTAAGATGATTCACTTGGGGCTCAGGGCAGGACGTGCATCCTTCCATGGGTGGAGAGCACCTCTCCTGCCTTCGTACTTCACACTTTGCATGGATCCCCAGTACCCTGTGGACAACAGCTAGACTCCATGCAATGACAGTGCATGCCATCTGAAGGTCTGGGGGAAAAAAAGGGCCAGGTTTCAAAATATCTATTTGTTTACTTGTCTTAAGCAGGTGGAGATGACAAAGAGGCCACCCATCTATTGCTTTACTCCCCAAATGCCCAGGATCTGGGAATCTCAATCCGGGGAGCCCCCATGGGTGGCAGAGAACTTGAACCCTTAAGCCATCATTGCGGCCACCCAGGGTATACATCAACAGGAAGCTTGGACTCGAACCCAGCACTCCAACATGGGATGCAGTCACCCAAAGCCGCAGCTTAAACACAAGGACAGATGCCCATCCCAGAAAGTTCCATTTACAAGTGTTCCAAGTCCCTCTGCTCTCTGCAGACAGCCGGCCCCTAGGCGCTCTCTGCAGCCCAGCCCAGCCCCTGGGCTTTCCCTGTAGTGGGTCTCTAAGTCCTGCAACCTGACCCAGCTCAACCTGACCCAGCTTGCAGCCCCACGGCAGACTTCCTCCACGCCTTCCAACCTAACAATGCCTTCAGGGGCCAAGGGGAACTGCTCCTCTAGGTGCTTTCTGTGGCTCTCTTCCTCCCTTTGCTCCTAAGGACCAAACTTCAAGTAATACCTAGGCCTAGGGTGAGCAGTGCAAATGCCTTCTTCCCTGGAAAGCTCTCCTTGACCCCTGGAACAAAGGTGTGCCCCTTCACCTCTCTTGTGTCCCCACCACACCCACAATGGTTTGTTCCAAATTTGCCTTTGCTACTTGGCTGTGGATCCCCATGGGCAAGGTCTCTGTTGGTCGGCCAACAGTAAGAGTAAGTCAAATGCATTGATGGGCCAGATGCCTGGATTGCGCAGGGGAAGCAGACTTGGAGAGACAAATTACGAGACCACTACACTATTGATACAGAGGGCTGTAACTCCACAGCAGCCCACAGCTTCCACTCCGCCCCCTGCCCTGGCTGTGGTCAGTGCCTGGCTACCCTCTGGAAGAGCAGTCTCTCCTCCAGACCACTCCAATTGCTGCCATATTCTGCAGGCTGGCCCGCCTCCCTGGCTCGGCCTGAGCCCAGACGTCGTCCTCCAGGGCAGACCCAGGGCCCTGGCAATGCTACCCCAGCACAGGAGCCCAGAAAATACGCAGAGATGGTAGAAGATCCTGTGTCCTCAGACAGCACAGAAAGCCACCAGGGTTGGCACGGTTGACTCACCGTGACACCCACGCTCAGCGGACAGCAAGTGGAGCTAGTGGGGCACCCACCCAAGGATGGATAGATGAATGAAAGGACATACATAGAGGTAAATAGACAGATGCATGGTACCTTCTTTCATGGATCCATCTACAGGCCACACCCTGGAATGGGCATAACCCAGGTGCTCAGTCCTAGTAACTCCATTATGTGAAGAGGATCAGAGACGTTAAGTCATGTGGCCAAGGATGCCCAGCAAGGAAGCAACAGAGCAGGACTCCAGGTCTGAAGTCAAGGCCAGTGTTCCTCCACCAGAGGACACTGCTCCTCAGAGACAAGGACAGGGACAGTGTGGACATTTCTAAAGAAAGATTGGAGGATGGGGGCGGGGAAAGTGCCGCTCGCCTGAGAATGCTGCCACAGCGAAGTTATAAACACACATATGTGGACGTGCACATGGAGGCACACACCACCTGGGCGAGGCCTGCTCCAGTGACGCGAGATGTGTCCCAGGCTCTCGGCTTCCGGTTTTGTAGCAACAGCAAAATTCTGGCCATGGCCACCTTCTAAGTTGGGTGAGCGGTGTCCTGCTAGAAGATTCATCAGGATAAAGTCCCAGCCCCTGTGGCCCAGCCCTGTCCTCTGTAAAAGTGTGGTGTCCTTTGTCCAGGCGCCTGCAGCAGCTTAAAACCCCCACCCGTGGGAAAGTGCCTACAGGCACTCGGCTTCCTCCCATTCTAACCTCGGCTTCCGCACTTTATGGGCCCCACACAATGGGCCTGGGGGCCACTCCCGCCCTGCCCACCGGCCCCAGCCTAAGTTCTGCTGGGAAAACAGGCTCTTCCTTCTAAGGTTGGGAGCAGACCATCTTCAACAGGTCCTGGCCCGAGCTGAAGCAGCCTGGGAGAATAGTCAGGCCGCAGGAATCCCCCCTCTGGTAGCCAGGGGCACCTGTGCACCAGGAAGATGAGTGACCGAGAAGGAATGACTGAGTCTGGTTCGCAGCCCTAGGGACACGCCAGGTCTGCTAGGAGTTTGTCACCCCAGCCTTAGGAGCCAGAGGTGTTCAAGGTTCTCCCTGCCCATGGCATCTCTGAACATTCTCCTTCCACTGCTCCTCTCACTTGGTGCCCCTGGCTCACTGAAAGGCCATGGAGGGGAGCCCGGAAGCAGCCACCCGCCCCTCTTTAGGCAGAAGGCCCTGGAGCCTGTGGCCTCAGCCAGCACCGCCTCTCCAGGGACCCGGCACTCCTGGCCTCTCAGAATTATGATTAGAATCTTACCGTCATTACAACTATAATTACCACAGTGATGAGGGTGCAGATTCTAAACTGCGCGGCTTGGCATCCTGGCTCGTTCGTTAGCTAATTGCCCTCTGCTCAGCCACATGCCCTCTCTGTCTCTGTTTCAGTTGGAAATTAAAGCCACTCATGGCTGTGTCCCTGCCCCTGCTGTGCTCTACATATTTGAAGGCACTCGGCAGGTGCTAGCTGTTTCTATAGTCAGACACTGAGGACTTGCCATATCTCACCTAACCCCTGCCCTCTTCCCCCGCTCCGCATCTGGGGCCCTGCCTGGATTCTCCCAGCTGGCTTGTGGCAGAGAATTCTGGGTCCCTCTCCAGAGCCGGGCCCTTGTGTGAGTGGGGTCCCAGTCCTCACCTGGCCACAGTGGCCACCAGCCATGCAGCAGCTGTCCTTAAAAGGGCAGACATGGAAGTAACTCCACTCTAGCTTTTAAAAAACCTGATGCTTAAAGGTCTTGAAGGTATTGGGGCTGGAAGGCATTTGGGAGTCCCCTTGTCTGACCCGACTGCCTCCTCCACCATTCCTATTCCCCAACTGTCAGAGTTTCTGGAGGTGGGGGAAGCAGAAAGCACCGCCAGGGAAGGGCTTCACTATTGGAGAATGGCCAGAAAAGACTGGGCTGGAATATTCCATGACAGCAGCCGGGGCCCTCCTGGGTTTCCCTGACTACCCAGCCCGCCCCCCCCCCCCACACACACACTCACATTCTTAGTGCCTCTCCCAGGCTCCCCACCCCCATGCAGACCTGGGATTCCCCCGCTAGCCTCCAGGGGTCTGGCAGCAGGGGGAGCCAGGAGACAACCCAACTCAGCACCAAGGACCAGCCCCGCCTGGATGACTCCTGGTGACCTAGGGGGCTTCCTGGGGTTGAGCTCAGGGGACCGGGCAGAGCAACTCTAAGGCCTGTCTGGTGTCCAACACTCCGACTTGTGACAAGTCACTCAGGATACATAGCTCTGCCCCTGCTGACCGCCCACCCTGGTTCCTTGGCAGCATGAGGTGGGTAGGGCAGAGCCGCGGGGGTGTGCACCAAGTATGGCCAATGTCCAGCTCTGCTCGCTGAGTGGCCAGAGACAATCTTCCTCCCACTGCTGCAGGACCGCTGGTCCCGCCTTGTGACACCGTGCAGGCTGGCAGCTGGGCTGTCACCACGATGGCCCCTGCTCTCCCTGTTCCTCTGCTTCAGCAGCCTGAAGCACTGTGTGCCAGGCGCTGCCACAAACACCCCAGCCACGGCAGGTCACTTCCTTTTCCAGGTAACCTAGGAGGGAGGTACTCTGGCCACACCCTTTTCGCCAGCCAGGTGGCTGAGGCGCGGCGGGGTGTGGGGGGCAGTGGGAAGACACTTGCCCAGGGCCCACTGCTATGTGGGGGAGGCAACAAGGCCAAGAATTTGTCCTGTCCAGGCTTCCTCTGCTCTTGACAAAGGAGTATATCTTGGAGCAGGTGTTGTGGGGCAGGAGTTAAGCTGCCATGTGCAACATCCACATCACACAACAGAGGGTCTGGGATGAAGTGCCCAGCCTGTGTTTCTAATTGAGCTTCCTGCTACTGCCCACTGACAGGTGGCAGTGAGGGTCCAGCATTTGGGCCCCTGTCACCCGCATGGGACACCTGGATGGAGTTCCTGCCTCCTGGCTCGATTGCAGCTCATGTGGACATTGGGAGAATGAAGCAGTCTCCTTTCCTGGTCTCTTCCTTTGTTGCTCTGCCTTTCAAACAGATAAGCTTTTTTAAAAAAAAGTCTGGTTTCCTTGTTTAAAAAAAAAAAAAGGTTTCTTGGTGAAGCTGACAGCTTGGAGGGAGCAGGTGTGAATGACAAGGACTCTGGACCAGGTCAGGGGAAGTCACACAGAAGGGCGGCCGCCACAGAGCTAGAGGCGGCCTCTGAGGTCCCTGCCAGCTTCGCTGGCCACTCATGCCTGAGAAAGGAAGTGGCAGGCCAAGAGGCAGCAGGGGGGATGGGGGAGGGAGGGCGGTGGGAAGCTCGGTGGCCCAAAGGAGGAAGCGGAGACAGGAGGGGGCCCACTACTCTCCCAGGAGGCAGAAATATCTGTCCCAGAAACAGAGCTGGGGAACTACACAGCAGTGCAACGGTGAATATGTGTAGACGTAGACTAGCAAGGGGCCGAGGCAGGGGAACAGAACTGTTGGAGTCCTGGGGGGGGAGAGAGCCCTGGAGGCTCAAAGTAGGGTGGGGCCCTGGCCACAGCCACTTTCTAGAGGGCAGTGAAGCTGAGGCCTTGCCTGGCAGAAGGTTCCTGACTCCTCTGTAGCACCTGCCTCAAATGATGGCCTCAGAGGTGGCATTGAAATTTCACAGCCCCTTTCAGGAGCAGGTGTCCTCCCAAATGCCATGTCCGCCCCACTACTTGGTGGCTAAGACACCACAAAGGCTGCTCAGCCATGTTCCCACCCAGCAGGAAGTATGCCAGCACCAGGCCTGGAGCAAGGAATGGCAGCAGTGGCAAGGGTGGGTGTGGGAGTAGTGCTGGGCTTCTGCCATACCTGCTCTTTAGGGGGCTAGCACCTGCCTCAGCCTGTCTACTGTCAAACCTTCAAGGCCGCATGGCTGCGCAGCGTTGGAGTAGGGGGCTGTCCCCTGGGCCCAGAACTTCTGATTGCTAGAGGGAGCTGCACCTGCTGGGCCCGACACCTTCATCAGCTCTGGCCTCACAACAGGTGTTCCAATACACACCTTGCCCCGGCCACCCTGCTGATGTAAGAGCAGGACCCACTCTGCCCCAGAGGGCCTGTGCCAGCATCCCTAACACTGACGGGCACCAGCCTCTTCCCACTTGTCCTCAACCATCCAGGGACACGAGTGCTGGTAACCCTCCCCTCTGCAGTCCCCTTTCCCAGGAAAGGCACCTAAGAAGCTAAGAAAGATGAGAAACTCGCCCAACACCACAGGGCTTAGTAAGGGATGGAGCCCACACTCCAAGCGGCTGGTGGGCTGCAGACCCCCACCGCTGCTCCCCAGCCACATAGCGCGCAGGCTCGGATCAGCCTCACACATTCCATGGCCTCTGATGCATAGGGCCTGGCACCCAGCAGGAAGGCCATCAACAGGCATCTATTTATAAAGACCTGCCCCAGACACACAGCATGGCGGTGGCTAGGAGCTCTAGCTCTGGAACCAGATGCCAACTCCACAGCTCAGATTTATAAACTGTAACCAGGCTGGACAGAGTAAGGCAATCTCCCTGTACCTAAGTTTCCTTATTTGTTTTTTTAAAAAAAAGGCAAAGAAAAACTCTATAGCATGGGCTGCTGTGAAAATGAGTGGACAGAGTGCTTAGAAGGAACACCTGCCACTCTCCTTGCTATTGGCTGATGGGATTTTAGACTGGTTGGCCTGAACCAGAGCTAAACTGCAACTTAAAAAAAAAATTTCCTCAGCTATTTTAAAATCCAAATGTGTGGTATCCTTGGCTAGGTCACACCTGTTCTGCTTTCTGTGGGGACCAGCAGTGGGATAGAGGCAAAACACACCATCTAGAATCCTAAAATGGTGGGTTTAAATCCAGGCTTTGCCCCCTTGGTCCCTCTAAACCTTGTTTTTTTCCTCCATCCAATGGGAAGAAGCTTCCTTGGTGAGGGGTTGGAAGGTACAGACCCCACAATCCTGGGCCCCTTGGCGTCCCTGTATCCCAGCCTTCTTACCTTCCTGTGCCCGGTGAAGAAGAGGGACAGATGGTGCATGGAACCACCATTGCGACCCAGCTCCTTCTTGAGGGTGCGGGGTGAAGGGATGGCCCAGGAGGACGTGGTGCCCTCACCATCCGAGCAGTGCAGGGTGGTGTCAGAGGAGAAGCAAGCCCCGCGAGCCTCCTGCAGCAGACTGCCCTCGCTGTGCGTCCGGCGCCGCAGCGAGTTCTGCACCCGCAGCGAGAGGCCACCCTCGGCACCCTGGCCCGTCTCGATCATGCTGCTGCGCTTGGTCCCGCTGCGTTCCCCGTAGTTGTCATCGCTGGTGTCCTCTTCCTCGTCCTCCTCACCCTCCTCGCCTTCCTCTCCATCTTCCACCTCCTCTGCATCCTCCTCCTCATCTGAGCTGCCCCCTTCGGCCCCTGCCCCCTGGCTGTAGGCGCTATCTAGCCGGACCTCCGGGATCACGAAGGCGGGCCTGGAGGTGGCAGGCGGGGTCCCAGGGGCTGCTGGTGGGTCCCCAGTGGCAGCTGCGACAGTGGCAGTGCTGGTGCTAGGGGTCTCCTCAGCAGGAGTCTCAGCAACTAGTGGGGCAAGGCTGGGAGGTGGGTCTTGGGGTGCAAGGTCCTGGGCAGGGGCTTCCTGGATTGCAGGGGCAGCTTTGCTGAGCAGAGGGTCCGGGCTGGGAGGAGGCTCCTGACCAACAGTCAGGTCATGGAGGGTTGTGGGGTCCTGGGCTGGCGGGGTGTCCTTGCTTGGTGAGATTTCCTGGCCCGGAGAGGGTTCTGTGCAGGTGGGTATGTCTCCGCTGGATGGGGACTCTGGACCAGGAGCAGGTGTCTGCCCCACAGATGGGTCCTGGCTGAGGGCTTGGTCTGGCTCCGGAGGAGGTTCCTGGCCATCCTCGCTGGGTGGGGAGGCCTCAGCAGCCGGCCCCTTGCCTTCAGCTGAGGACATCTCCCTCTTCGCATCTGCTTCTGCCTCAAACATCTGGGAAACAAAGCACACAAGAGAGGCTTAGAACCAAAAGTCCCCCCCCCACCCCCGACAACGCTGCCTCCCTCTCCATCCCCACCCACCTCTCCCCTGCCCCGCACACGTGTAGTGACATCACAGCGGCCTGTAGGGAATCCTGCAGCCTCCACACCTGGAAGCCCATACCCCTTGGAAACACAAAGTCCTTGCAGCTCAGGTCAGCTCTATCAGCACCACAGTGACCACTTGGGGAAGGAGAGATTGTGGAACCTGCCAGATGGCCTGCTCCTGCTGTAGGTGCCAGGGAACCAGGAAGGAGGGACATGGCTGTTCCCGTTTTACAGAGAAGAGGACAGGGGTAACACTCTCTCTCTGAGTGAGAGAAGCCAGGCAGCTGGGAACCAGACGCAAACCAAACCTCCAGCCGGGACGTCACAAAGGGGCCGAGTCTCGAGCCCAGCCAAACGGAGTGTCTCCCAAACCAAGGTTTAAAAAAACTCCCGGTGAGTCACTCAAGAAAGAATTCACTCTAAATGTCAACTGTCTTTTTTTTTTTTTTTCTGAGACTGGAAACTGGAATGAAACCAGAACTTTAAAATCCTGCCCACACCTGGACTAACCTAGACGTCACAGACACATGGAACCTCCCCCTGTAGGATCATCCACCCACGCATTTCTAAACTGTTTGGGGGAAAACTTCAAGAATTCTACAAAAAAAGCAAAGCATTTCCTGCTTCCCCACAGTCCTGGTGGCCCGGTGGGGAAGGTAGTGGTGGTATGGGAGGGGGTTGCAGGCTCCCAGTGGCAGGTTTTACTTATGGAAGAAACCCAGGGTCGCCCCCAACCCCATCACAGTGGAAGGCCCTGGGACAGTGGAGCCAACACTACTCGGAGCCCTAAAGGACTTTCCATCCTTCAGGAAGATGCAGCCACTTGGAACTAATGGTGGGGAAGAGCTACACACACTTCTGAGAAGTGATGCATGGGGGTGTGACCTGTGTGTGCAGAGATAAACACACACACACGCACTTGAAGTACATGCAGAATACAGGTCAAGAGCTCCTGCTTGTGGAGACTAGGCACATCCACTTGATGGATGGGAAAACTGAGCCCCCTCCTACCCCAGCAGTGACTTAGCCACCCTGAGGTCAAAAGGCCATGCCGGAAGCTGAGGTCGTTGAGGAGCCTGAAGCCGCAGCCAGGCCTCACAGCTGGGAGTAGGTGACCCAGCCGAGTGGTTCAGGGCAGATGGAGGGTGCTATGCACATGTCGGGGGCCACCCTGGCACCTGGGAACCCCAGGGCAGATGTGAAACAGCGTGGGTAGGAGCCAAGGCCCAGGAGTGTGAAAGTGAAAGTGGAGCTGGGCCAAGGAGGAAGTGCTGGAAGCCCCAGACCTCAGACAGCTGGGCTCCTGAACGACCTGGCCGAGGTCAGCAAGGACACATGCTGGGCTCTGGTTCCCAGGCTCGAGACAAGTGCCCACTGACCCTGTGGCTCTCCAGCTCTGGGCCTCCCCCTGTAACTGGGAGGGGATCACCAAGGAAAGCCTCAGACCCCCGTAATCACAGACCTGAAACATGAGCAGCATAGATGGGGAGGCCAGGGTCCTGAGCGGCCCAGGGACCAGCGGGGCTGGGTGGAGCCAGTCATTAACCCTCCTGGCCTCAAAGTCTCCACCTCCAAAATGGGACAATACAAAGCTCTTAGAAGTGACAGTGGTGGAGGTGACAGCCACAGCCATGTTAAAAATGGATGCTAGAGAGATGCTCTGAAGTGGTGAAAGACCTCAAATCGTGGCACATCTTCCCCATACCCCTCACCCCCACCGGAAGCAACACTGTGCTAAACTCCCAGGCTCACAGACTGTCATGCCTAATGCAGAGTCCTCAGCTGGAACTGCAGGCCTGGGCTCCAGTACCCTTGGGATGCTCTCAGGTGGGGAGAGACCACCCCCTCACCCCCACTGAACAGGTAGGAAGATGGACAGCCCACTTGGCTGGCGACCCAGGGATCTGCCCAAAACTGCCCAGTGCAGTGAGTCCACGGGCTGATCGGGCTGATCGGATCTCAGGCCCTGAGGTCAGGTAAGTCCTGCCGCTTGCCCACCACACCCTCTGCCTCCAACCCCAACCCTGCGAATGGAGAGCATTCTCCCCTCCCCAGTAAACTCAACCAGCCCTGCAGCCAGCTCCCCAACAGGGCAGATCCCCACCTGCCTGCAGAAGGACAGAAGGAAGTCAGCCGCAGCTGGGCACCCAGGAGGCCTGAAACAAACTGACTTGGGGAACACACTGCAAGGGGAGCAGGCCACATTTCCCCTTTCCTGGGCAGTGAGGGTGGGGCCCAGGCCCCTCCCAGCAGCCCTCTTAGCCCCCCGGGGAAAGTGCAGTGCAGCCCCAAAACCAGAAATGCAAGTCAGCCTGCCTGGGCCAACCCTGCCCCAAAGGCAGCCAAACCAAACAGCCAGGAGAGGAAGTGCTGCTCAGCAGGTACCTCCCCCACCTCCCCCCACCCCGCTCCCACACGCAGACCCAGAAACCACCAGACCTGCAGGGCTGTCTGGGTGCCCAGCTGCATCGGGCTGCACAAGTGGAGTTTGGCCCCAAATAGGACCACTTTCTGGCTCTGCAACTCCAATGGGGTCTCCTGGCTTCCTCATCCGGAGCACAGCCCAGGGAGAGCACACCAGACTCCCAGGATGTGGTACCACAATGGTTGTTGGGAGTCTTATTAGGAGTGGGGACACTGAGGCCCCAGGCAGGTGGTGGGGAGTGGGAGGAGGTAGATTACCTAAGAAAGCAGAGGCTACTGCAGGAGTCAGATGCATTCTCCTCTCCCATCCCCAGGGACCTTTGACCCTCAAGCATAGGGGAACTGGAGCAGGCCACCAGCACCGCACAGCCCTCATCATGAGAATTAGAGCATGGGATCCCAGGTATGGCAGTGTGAGCAGCAGCTACCCTGGCAGATGTTGGGAAGCCAGTGCTAGAAGAGGAACAGCAGAGCCAGGGGTACCAAGTGCAGGGGAGAGATGAGGGTGAGGTTCCAGAATCATGGCAAGTATGGACTGGGCAACAGGAACAGAATAGGAGTTGTGCTATGGCAAGTCTGCCAAGAGCTGGACACATGGGGCAGTGGGGTGAGGGTCATTGGGGTGTGTGTATGTATATACGCGTGCACATGCTCATGCAGATTCGGTCATTCGCAGGCCCCAAGGCAGGCACTGGTGTCACGCACAATCTATACCCTAGGTTAAGAACAAAGATTAGATGACTGGTCTGCAGGTGGGCTCTGGTGGAAGTGGTGCTGACAGTGAGGGCACCCAGCTGAGCTGCAGCTGCCATAGGCTGGGGTCGCAAGCATTTAGCCAGAACATTTCGGGGAGAGGCCAGCCTGCTACCCCAAGAATGCCGCCACTGCTACCACCCACCCTCCCTCGCCCTTCACTTGTTTGGCTTGGCGGGAGCGGGGTTAATGTTGTGCAGGTCTCGCCTGCTGGAAGCACACAGGAAATGAACCAGGCCCTCTAAGTGGAGCTGCTGTTTAGGATCTAATCAAATCCTCTCCCAAATCCAATCCAGAGCTCAGCACTGGCTAGGGCAGGCTGGAACGACCGATGCCCAGAGTTTGCGTTCCTACCAGCTGGGATCCTGCACCCCGATTCAGAGGTGCCGGTGGGTGATGGAAATGACTTGCCCAGTGTCACACAGGCAGCAACTGTGCGGTGCTGGCCCTGCTGGCCACTGCAACAACCTGCAGCTCTCTGTCTTCGTCTGATGATTCATCAGCTGCATTGCTGGTGCCGGCTTTAGCCTCAGCATCTGCCCTCCAGAACCACTTCCTGCACCAGGGGCAGGGATGGAGATGGCGGGGCAGGGGTCAACCAGGGTTTGCAGGTTTCAGGGTGGCCCTTGGCCCCTGGGGATTCTACAGAAAGATTACAGGACATAGAGCCAGGAAGCCAGGCTGGTAGTTCACCTGGCATTTGCTTGTTTGTAGATCACTTGGCTATTTCCTGCCAAGAAGACACCTCCTGCTCAGCAGGACCAGTAAAGCAGAGAACCAAGCCTGCAAGGGGCAGGTATGTGCTTTGTGGACAAGAAAGCCACTTGAGAAAGTGGCAAGGCACTCCTGGCTGGTGCTCGGCCTCCAAGCTCCACTTCTATGCTCAGGGTTGTTCCTTGCAGCTTAGGGCATGCTGGGTCACCAGCTTCTGGGCCCTGGCTCCATGTTGACTTCCAGGAAGTCAGCCTCCCTGGCCCAGCCTCCACCCAGCTCTCCTCCAGCCTCGGCCACCACCTTAGAGACCTACTAGACTGATGTCTTTCCTGCCTCCCACCCCAACAGCACAGTTAGAGCAGAGTCTGGGAAGGTGCAGGGCTCTGGCACCAAGCCCACTTCACACTTATGGGCCGGAGGGGCCGGGGCTTAACCTTCGGTGCCTACTTTCCTTAGCGCTAACATGGGATGGACAACACCCCCCTCAGAGTTTATTAAAGGAACAAAGGAGCTAGGGTACATTCGGAGCTCTGCAGTGCTGGCACCTGTAAGCATGCATGGCCAACCTGGTACATCTTGGCTTTAACATCTCCCTGGTTTCCTCTGACCCATCTGCTGACCCCTGCCCTCTGTCACAGGCTTTACAGCCTGCCCTTCAAGACCTGCTCCAGACACCTCCCACCTCACCCCTGCATGCACCTATCCCAGTCTACTGACACCCTCTGCATCATCTAGCTGTGGGTCCCTCCAGTCTCCACTGCCAGCCAGCTCCAGCAGACAAGCATTCACTCAGCAAATCTTCACAGAATAGCCATGTACCCCAACAATGTCCTAGGCTTAGCGGGTGCTGCAGGAAATAGGAAAGACAGGATCCCTGCCTGCATGTTGCCTACAGGATGGAAGGAACGAACACACTTGAATCAAGTTGCCACCCACATAAGTGATGGGGTGAATACAAACCATGATCTCTAACGTCAAGGAAACCCCAAGATGCTGTGAGACAGAAAGGGTGGC